GGATCCAAGGGATCAAGACATCAACGACCTGACCCTTGCTGCGCAAGGGGAAGACCGTGGTGTACCGCGTGTAGTCGTCAACAACCAGCAGAAAGTAGCGCTCGAGGCTCTGACCACTGACGCGGGCCGGGCCCCACACGTCCATGTGGAGAGTGTGCAGGGGAGCAGTCGTCGGGGGAAACGAGGAGGAGTGAGGGGTGGCGCGCTGCCGCCCCTCGACGGAAGGGAGGCAAGGCGGGGCAGGCGAGGGCAGCAGGGGAGGCAGAGACCTGGGAAGACCAGAGACAAGAAGACGAGAGTGCATGCCACGAAGACGTGGCAGGGAGGGGTGACCCAGGCGGTGGTGCCACAGAAGAGTCTGGTGCGAAAGGAGGCGACACGAGCAAGAGGCAGCTACCTGACCTGACGCGGACACCTGAGCTGACGCAGCTACCTGAGAAGGCTCGGTAGCGAGGGTGTACAGAATCGACCCTGGCTGACGAGTGAACGTGGCCAGGTGACGTCCCGTCCGTGTGCACGTGCAGATCAACACACGCTGACCCCCAGGAGTGGTGGTAGTGACCATCACATCCTTGAGGGCAGCGGTACTCACCAAGTTTGTAGAGAACGAGGGGAGGTGAAGACCTGACAGTGAGCCGGACGGAACCGCCGGACACGGGAGGACAGTGGAGGAACGGGCCACGACCGGTCCCCCGGAGGGGTCAGCCAGCCTGACCAGGACAGGTGCAGGAAGAGGAGTGAGGGTGGTGGTGTCACGAAAGAAACAGCGTGAGGCGCCTGAGTCCAACGTGAAGGTGTGCAAAGCCTCAGCAGGCGCAGTACCAGGGAGAGTACCAGACTCACTAGCACCTAGAGCAGCAGCAGCTATACCTGGGTCAGGCGGCACACTCCGGTAACAGTCACCCTTAGCACTAACAGACAAAGCATACATAGCAGAAAGAATGGCATCAAAGTCTAGGTCAAAGATAGCAATCCTAGACTTAAGCAGATCTGCCCAGCGAGGGAGCTCGACGTCGTCATCAAACTCAGCACGCCAAGCGTCGTCGAGGCGGGAGAAGCAGCGGTGCTGAGTGTGGAGCCGCCCGCAAGTCTGACCAGCATGGTCACCCGTGCGAATGACATACGGGCAACTACCCCCAGACGCCCCACGCAGAAACCACTCACGAAGCTGTTGGGGAGACGGGGTCTCGCCCCGACGCTGCTGCTGCTGACGTTGGCCACCCCCAGAACCGACACGCCGAGCTCCAGTCCCACCGCCACCAGTCCCACCGCCTCCACTGCCGCCACTCCCACCGCTGCCTCCACCACCGCCACCAGAGCCCCCACTCCCACCAACAGTCCCACCGCCGCCACCACCTCCACTGCTGCCCCCACCACCACTCCCGCTGCCACCTCCACCACCGCCGCTGCCACCACCACCACCCCGGCCACCCTTGCCCTTGCTGCTGCGGCGCTTTGCACTAGCAGAAGCAGCCCCGACGTCCTCAGGAACAGAGACGTCTGCAGCAGCAGCAGAGGCGTAGGAGGGGGCAAGGAGGGAGGGGGAACACCCCTCAAAGAAGGGCGGGCGCGGACTGCCACGAGCAGCACCTACAGCAACTGCACTAGTCTCAGCTTCGAGGAGATGCTGCTCGAGGAGGTCAACAGTGAGGGAGGTGGGGTCAAGAGAGAGGAAGTGGTCCTTGACAGAGCGAAGAGAGTCAGGGAGGCGGGTGACTATAAAGTAGAGAGTGATGTACATCGGGGGCGGGTTCCTATCAAGGAACTCAGCAGGAACGGCAGCGTGGTAGCGAGCGTCACTAGCGTGAAGGTGGGAAACCAGGTCCTAGACTGTGGCAAAGGCGGACAGCTCGGGGAACAGGAAGGGCAGAAGGAGGCGGCCTAGAGCAGCAGTGGCAGGTGAGGAGTAGCGGGCGACTACAGCGTCGTACAGTGCCTGTGCTGTCCTGTGCTTTCCGAAGTGAGTGCACTCAACTAACGGCAGGTGGTTGCGAATGGCTAAGCGGGCAGCAGCGAGTCGAACCGTCGGCTGTGGCGGGAGGGGCAGTAGCAGCTCCTGACGCTAGGTCAAAAAGCGAGACACTGTCTTTAGAATCGCTCAGTAGGTACAGCTGCAGGTCGTCAAGCCACGTGTCAAACTGAATTGGTCTACCCTCATGATCAAAACGCAAGGACACGAAGCAAAGCCATAGTTGTGTAGGACGTAGGAGCAGCAGTAGCAGCTTTAGCAGTAGCAGTAGCAGCTGTAGCAGGAGCAGCAGTGACAGTGGGGCTAAGAGGCCGCCGGGGCCGGGCACGGACTTGGGATGGGGCCGGGCGCGGGCTAGGTACGGGGCCGGGCGCTGGCTAGGTACGGGGCCGGGCAATAGCTAGGTACTGGGCCGGGCGTGGGCTAGGTACGGGGCTGGGCGCGGGCTAGGAACGGGGCCGGGCGCGGGCTAGGTACGGGGCCGGGCGCGGGCTAGGTACGCGGCCGAGTGCGGGTTAGGTACGGGGCCGGGCGCGGGCTAGGTACGGGGCCGGGCGCGGGCTAGGTACGAGGCCGGGCGCGGGCTAGGTACGGGGCCGGGCGCGGGCTAGGTACGGGGCTGGGCGCGGGCTAGGTACGGGGCCGGGCGCTGGCTAGGTACGGGGCCGGGCTATGGGCAGGTTCGGGGCCGGGTGTGGGGCGCGAAACGGGGCCGGGCGCAGGGCTAGGTACGGGGCCGGGCGCTGGGCAAGGGACGGGGCCGGGCGCTGGGGAGGTACGGGGCCGGGCGTTGGGCGCGATACGGGGCCGGGCGCTAGGCAAGGGACGGGGCCGGGCGCTAGGTAGGTGCGGGGCTGGGCGCTAGGCAGGTACGGGGCCGGGCACGATACGGGGCCGGGCGCGAGACTAGGTACGGGGCCAGGCGCGGGCTAAGTACGGGGCCGGGCGCGGGCTAGATACGGGGCCGGGCGCTGGGCAAGGGACGGGTCCAGGCGCTGGGGAGGTACGGGGCCGGGCGTTGGGCGCGATACGGGGCCAGGCGCAAGGCTAGGTACGGGGCCGAGCGCGGGCTAGGAACGGGGCCGGGCGTTGGGCGCGATACGGGGCCGGGCGCTAGGCTAGGTACGGGGCCGGGCGTTGGGCGCGGAACGGAGGCCGGGCGCGAGGCTAGGTACGGGGCTGGGCGCGATACGGGGCCTGGCGCGATACGGGGCCGGGTGCGAAACGGGGCCGGGCGCGATACGGGGCCGGGTGTGAGGCTAGGTACGGGGCCGGGCGCGGGCTAGGTACGAGGCCGGGCGCGGGGCTGAGGGCCGACGTGGCCGGGCGCGGGCTAGGAACGGGGCCGGGCGCGGGCTAGGGGTCGACGGGCCGCATAGGCTAGGAGCGACGGGCCTAGGGGCGGTTACTGGCAGCGTAGCAGGTGGTGGGCCCAAGGAACCTGCTCTGATTCCATGTCAAAGCCAACGAACGAGGATGAATGAACTAGCAAACAGTTGGGTACAAGTACTAACCCTAATTGGGTTGTACCCCTTATGGGCTACCCCACTACAGCCTACACAAATGTATAAGCTATAATGTTCTAACAACCACTTGTTCTCCCCCACTTTGCCTATGGGGGTGTGTCAAACTTATATATAGCTTATACATTTGTGTAGGCTGTAGTGGGGTAGCCCATAAGGGGTACAACCCAATTAGGGTTAGTACTTGTACCCAACTCTTTCCTAGTTCATTCATTCTCGTTTGTTCTTTCTGACAGCTCGAACTCGAAGCTCCACGTGTAGAAGTCGTTGCCGTCGAAGGGAACTGATGTCTTCAGCTTTGAAGTCAAAACAAACTTTGTTTGCATTTTCGCAATTGTTTCTGACTGTGTGCGATGTTGACTGTCTTGCGCAGGAGCTGAAGCTTGATGGTTGTCAAAGGTAAATGACCTCTCGGAGTTGACGCGGCGGTCTTCTCCAGGGAGAGGGAGTCCAGCAACTCGACGTGCGTAGCTTGAGCCATCGATGCTCATAGCTTGATGGCTCTCAAGAGCGTTGATGCGAGCGACCAGCTGCTCAACGAGAGCGGCGGTGACGGAGGTCACCGCTGATGGTGCCGTAGGTGTTGCTGGTGGTGGGCCCGGAGAATCTGCAGTGGCTTTTCCTCCGGGAGCCATAGAGATGCAGAGTTTGTAATAGTTTAACGAGTAATTTATAAAGTAGTTCTAGAAAGAACAAGAGCTTAACAAGCCTTATAATCCACTCTAGCTCTCATACCTTATAAGTGAAGGATCGTAGTGGACAGGATAAGTCTGTTAAGTCTGAGAGAAGACAATGAAGTCTTTGTAATGACCTTGATAATAAGTTGAAAGAGAGCAAGATAATTAAAGGATAGTGGTACAAATATATAAATAGCAATCCTACCTAGCCATGTACTCTGAGGGGTACATACATTCCCTTATTAACTGAATTGCATTGCTACAGTAACCATTACTATTGCTATTCTTGACAGTTACCGTGTTGCATCGCGTAACTTCCAAGTGCGGTTACTGAACAGTCAAGGGTCACGACCGTTGACTATCTTCGACTTTTGACCTTCGGGTGACCCTTGACCTTCCGCATGTTCTTTATGAGCTATTGCGATAATGATACAGGCGTGTAGCTTCGTTATGGAGTGACACGCGAGTGGAGAGCCTTCGGGAATGTTACTGTAACCTTTTAGGTTATTCCAACATGTAGTAAAGCATACTACAGATTTGCTAGGTACATCCTCAGACAGACAAGGCAAAGTTCGGTTTGTATCACACCAATCGCGAGTCGCGACACCCATCTGCGGCAACACCACCAAACAGGTTCTCGAGCATTCCCCCATCTGCAACTTCACGCGCACACACACGCACACATATATAACGGCTACTACGTACCGTACTGCATCTGCCAACAGGCATCCCAGACAACCTAAACTCAACAATACCACACACAGAAACAGTTACACAGGTATACCGCACGTGAGTCGTCGCCTGATGGCTCATGACTCATGAGACACGACCCTACGCAGGTGCGACGAGCAGCACAACAGCCAGCAAGGCCCAAGCAGCAGATGCGAGTGCAGGCAGCATCTGGGTGCTGGCCTTGCCGGGTGGTGTTGCTGCTGTAGCAGGGGAAGCTGGCTGCTGCAGGACCAGTGGCTCTGCTGCCACTGGAAAGACAGGCAATGCAACAGGCCGAGACGGGAGAGAGGGAGGGAAAGAGAGAAGGAGAGAGAGAGACGGGATAAGCGGTATGTTGGAGAGAAGGCACGAGATGCGATGGTACACACGCATCCTGGCACGGGAGAGAGAGAGAGAGCCTTGTGCTCCCTGTGGCCAGAGCCTGACAGGTGCTTTCTATGAGGCATCATGCGGGGTAGCTGGGTGGAGCAGCAAGCAGGCTTACAGTTGGCGGGCGTGCAGACGGTACAGAAGGAGGGGCAGATGTCGAGACAGAAGGTGGTGGCCGAGTGCTGCTTCACTCCGCCACAGCTGCTGCCGCTGCCGGGGCACTGTAGGCCTGTGTTGGCCGCCCCCCTGGGGGAAGGGAGAGGGGCAAGGAGAGTGGTGTGGTGCGGAGTGGTATGGTATGGTATGGTAGGGTACGGTATGGTATGGTATGGTATGGTATGGTATGGTATGGTATGGTATGGTATGGTATGGTATGGTATGGTATGGTATGGTATGGTATGATATGGTATGGTATGGTATGGTATGGTATGGTACGGTACGGTACAGTACCGTACGGTGTGGTGTGGTGTGGTATGGTATGGCAATTGCCTAGCACGGCAAGGCACAGTATGGCATGGCATCATAGGGCATGAGATGACATGGCATGGCATACCACTGAGCGAGCTGGCTGAGGTTGCCGATGGTGGGAGGGATGGTGCCAGCCAGACTGGTGTCGTTCATCTCACTGCCTTGCCACGCATGGACATGCACACAGCATGGCACCACACACGCACGCATGCCCACACAGAAACACATACACACAAACACATCACAAATGAGAGAAAGACACAGAAAGGAGCGGGAAACAGCACCAGTCCACAACCCCATGGTGCAAGCTCCTCTCACAGTCATTGCACCCACTCACTCCTCTCGCTCAAGCGTCATCCCCCACCCACCCACGCCATGGCCACCCGTGCAGTGCAGTGCAGTGCAGTGCAGTGCAGTGCAGTGCAGTGCAGTGCAGTGCAGTGCAGTTCAGTTCAGTGCAGTTCAGTGCAGTGCAGTGCAGTTCAGTTCAGTGCAGTGCGCTCACAGCTCTCTGAGATTGGTGAGTGCGCCCAGAGCATCCGGGATGGCGCCACTCAGCTGCTTGTTGCCGTCCACCTTGCTGCATACATGCATACACACGTGCACATATGCACGCACAGACGGGAGGTGGTGGGAGGCGGTGGATGAAGCGCATGGTCTATCATTCACAGGGAGCCACGATCAGTGGGTGCAAGTACAGGCGTGTGCAGCAGAAGACGATACGGGGAAAAAGAGTAAGAAAACGGTTCTTGTGAAAAATGTAGTGTAGCTGTAATGGTAGCCGTGCGCTTAACAGAAGTTAAGGTATTTGTAGCATTAGGAGCAAGGACAGGACAGGTGCAGTACGCCAACAAGAAGACATGCAGAGAGAGAAAGCAGGAAGGGCGCTGGTGCGGTGAGTGATGGCTGGTTGACAAACAGGGGACAGGATTAGGGTGGGGAGTGGGGAATGGGGAGTGGGGAGTGGAGAGGGGGTTGGGCGGGTGAAGGAGGAAGGGCTGACCCCCCTGAATGAAAGCCGACAAGAGGGTCAAGAGATGGCATGGAGAGATGCGGACACAGGGATCCAACGAAAGGGGATTAGAGGAGACGCGCAGGGCAGGGCAGGGCGGGAAGGGGCGGGGCGGGGCGGAGGCAAGCAGTACTCACAGAGACTGGAGATTGGTAAGCTGGCCGAGGGAGGAGGGGATGGATCCAGACAGCTGGTTGTGCCCCAGCCACCTGCCATGTCAGCATGGTGTCATGCCATGTCATCATGGTGGCGTGCCACGTCAGCACAGCACGGCACAGCATGGAATGAGAATAAGTGTGCGCTGCGCTATGAGCGAGCCACAGCCTATAGTGGATGGAAAGCCTGCGGGATAATGGAATGTTCAGGGTTTAGGGCTGTGAGACTGACTGAGGACAGACTGAGGACACACACTGAGGACTGACTGAGGACAGACTGAGGACTGACTGAGGACTGACTGAGGAGCAACATGGTGGCGACGCGGAGTGCATGCACAACAGGACGCACAGGGTGCTGGTGCTGCAGTGACAAAACAGCATGCACTTGCTTGGTAGCGAGTGCATGGGATGGTAACACGCGGGTGGCATGGCAAGAGCACGGCATGGTGTAGATCAACATGCCATGGCATGGCATGGCATGGCGTGGGATGGAAGGGCGTGGGATGGAAGGGCGTGGTGGAAGTGCAGCGTACAGCTGTGTGAGGGCAGTGAGCGAGGAGAGGGCGCCGGGGATGCTGCCCGTGAAGGCGTTGCTGCCGAGGTCGCTGTTGGGAAAGGAGGCGTGGTGGATGGGGTAGTGAGGTTTTCACGGAGGCCGCACCGGGAAAGGCGAACGGAGAGGAAGCGGATGGGAGGGAAAAGAGAGAGGCAGGAAGCAGGGAGTAAGAAAAGGCAGGCAGGGAAGTTCTGTGCCGTTGGACCTTGCCAAAGAGACGTGCCACCCACTAGTGCGGCGAGAACTAGCTGAGTTGCAGCCAATCAGGCACGGCAAATGAGGCCCGGCAATGAATTAGGAGAAAATAAAAACGAACCGCATGACCCTCAGTCCAGCGAGGCAGGCACTCACAGTGCGGCGAGGCACTCACAGTGCGGCGAGGCACTCACAGTGCAGCGAGGTTCGGCATCTTCTTGATGAGCGTGTCGGGGATGGAGAGAGCCACGTCGCCACTCAGCTTGTTGCCCGCTGCTGCCCTGTGCCGTGGCAGGCAGGAGGACGGCAGGAGGGGAGAACGGAAGGTGAAGAGGCAGGATTTGGGGCGCCTGAGTGTGGTGTGGCTGCGCGATGGGTGATATGTGGTGGGGAATAGGGTGTGTGGTGGGAATGGCGGTGGACAGTGGGAGAGGAAGTGTGTGAGGAAGAGAGTGTGGGTTGCTGTGAGCTTACAGGACGCTGAGGTTGGTGAGCTGGGATAAGGAGGGTGGAATGCTGCCCGTGAAGTTGTTGCTGCTCAGCCAGCTGTTGGTGGTTGCCTCGTCCACACACACACGCACGCACCCACGCACGCACACACACACACACACACACACACACACACACACACACATGCACAGAGACACACACATGAGTGAGCACGAACACGCACGAATGAGCGCGCGCACACACATGCGCTCGCACAGCCACGGTTGCACTCATGCAATGCTCAAGCGACCAAGGTTCTTTTCAGAGCTGGGCTATGCTTTCCATGTATGGGAAGGGCGCGAGAAAAGCGAGGGGGATAAAACAAGGTTAAAACCGGGAAGGCTAAGGGGCAAGATAGAGATCAAAATCAACGTGCAGGAGAGGCAAAAACAGACCCCAAATGGGAGAAGCTAGGGAAAACGAGGGAGACAGGAAGAGAGGAGGAAGAGTGAAGAGGCGGCAGGGCAGAGCAAGCGGGCTGACAGCTCTTGAAGGCTGGTGATGGTGCCGACCAGCGTGGGGATGGGCCCTGATAAGCTCAGGTCCTGCAGGTCACTGCAGCGCACACATGCATACACACACTCACACACAAGCACATACACACACATGCACTCACACACACAAGCACATACACGCACATGCACTCACACACACAAGCACATACACGCACATGCATGCACACACACACACACACACACATGCATATGCATGGATGTAGTGAGAGGAGGACGAGGAGAAAAAGGAGGGAGGGGGGGAGAGAGGGAGAGAATTGAAGGCGAGTGTGGGGAGGGAGGGGGATGAGGAATGCTGAATAGGAGCTGGCATGACCCGCCTGGCGGACTGCACGTCAACGGTCGTGCGTGGGGTGAACCGAGACGATTTTTAAGGCGCCTCAAAAATCGCCTGGCGGACTGCACGTCAACGGACGTGCGTGGGGTGGGAGAACGGAAGGAAGCGAATGGAGGGACGAGAGAAGACCCGCCTAGCAGACAGCACGCAACGAGTCATGTGGAGGGGATGAGGGGATGAAACAAGTCACTTGACTCGTGCTCAGCTCAAGGGTGGTAAATATTGGAGCCTCAAAAAGTCACCGAGGTGAGGTGAGACTAGGTTAGGTTGGTTTGAGGCGAATTAAAAGTAACCTGAGGGGATTAAAAAGCGTCTTTTTTAGGCGCCTCAAACATGAGACAGCGGTTCGGGGGGGGCTTCAACTCGGGCTGAGGGCTACTTAAGTCGGGTTCGGGGGAGATTACGGCGCGGACCGAGGGGGAAGGCGGCGGAGCGAGCGCGGGGGCGGGAGGGAGGGGGGAAGAGGAAAAGGGGAGGGGGGGTTAGGGGAGGTAGGGGTAGGGGAAAGGGGGGGAAGGGGAGAGGCTCACAGCACGATGAGAAGGCCATTTGGGTCGCAGAAGATCCGTTTGGCGGCGTCCGGCACCGCGGGTGTGCCGGACGCGGGGTCCGCGGGCATGCCCTTGAGCAGGTCTGGGGGCGTCGTGGGCTGCGCGCACATGGGCGCCGCGTCGCTCCACCCCGGGACGGGCGGCGCGATGCTGAGCGCCTTGGAGAGCGCCTGCAGCTGCTTGGCTGCCGGTGGCGAGGCGCGCGGGCGGGCGGGAGGGAGGGAGTGAGGGAGAGGGAGAGAGGGAGGACGGGAGGGATGGAGTGGAGGAGAATGAGAGGGAGAGGGAGATAAGGTCGGCAAAGAAGAGGGGGGAGGGGGGGGGGGGAGAGGTGAACGGGGATAGGGAAGGTGGGATGGGAAGGAAGAATCGAGTGGGAAGGACGAGGGAGAGGAAGAGACTCACCGTGCTGCACGACCCATCTGTTCATTCCATTGGCCCTTACTCGTGCATAACTTACCGCCTTTATACGAAAGAGGACTTACCACCGTCTTGCTCGTCGCACTCGTCCTCGGTTCCGCTACTCTTGAGCTTGCCGCCGTTAGCGGAAACGGCTTATTTCTGTCCGTTTCGGTCTTACCTTTGGACGCAAATGTGTTTTTTCTAATGTGACATTCGAACGAAGGGAGGGGGGAGTGGAGGGGTATGCCCTAAGCAAAGAACAAAAGGAAAAGAAAAGGAAAAAAAAACCCTGCGGCCAAATAATCGAGTAGGCCTTGCATCGAGTGCTTTATACATTCGAGCCGCCTCCCTTGTCCTCCGTTATCATTATACTCTCTTTCATTTTTCTTTCAAATGACTACATTTCTCCTTTGTGCGACGAAAGAACAAGTATACCTTGTGCTGGGTCCAAAGGAATCGGAAATGGTGGGGGGCCTTGATCTTCCATCGACTGAGCTCTCGACGACGACACAAGGCAGGTGGCCGCTAGGACGAGAGCCAAGAGCGCTGAACCGCGGCGGCGCGCACCACAAACGTCGGAAGGGGTAATAGGAGCCATGGCGGGGAGGCAAGAGAATGGTGGATGTCTAATGTCAACAATGTTGTGTGTAGGGCTGTTGTGTTGGTGGTTTCGGTGGGGTGGTGAGGTGAGATCTAGGGCAGCGGAAATCGATCCGTCTACCGCACTGACATCCCGCTTTTCGCATACAAAACGTACACAACCTTATACAACCGTGTTAGAAAACGAATCTGAGGCGACCGATCCTACACTTTTACCACGTCCTTCTAGAGCAAAGGAGTTGAGTTGCTGCTCAGCACGAAATCTGCTGTATCAAAAACTGGTAGACCTTTCTTGAGAACGCAACAACCTTGATGCCTCTCCATGTTGGCCCCTCTTTTAAGACAGTTACATAACACCAGACTGGAAAGCTGTGCAATGGCCAGGGAAGTCACTGTTATGTCCCACCTTACCATGTATTACGCCGTTAAACAACGGTAACATCCAAGTTCTGAACGAGGTGGGTCACAGGTCAGAGCACATCTGCATGCCCCTCGTCCTTGCCATCTCCAAAGCCCCACCAGCTGTGGGCGTGTGAGCGGGGAGTGGGAGCAGCGAGAGCTGCTTCAATGTGCGGTGCAATGTCTAGCGGATTCACCGTGGGTGCATAGCGGCGGATGGTTATGCCATCCTTGCCCACCAGAAACTGGCAGGAAGAGAGAGAGAGGGAGGCGGTGGAGAGGGCAGATGGTGGCACATGCATACAGCATGGTGGAGATGAGTGGATTGGGGTGGAAAGGAGCAAGGGGAGGGGGCTGGCTACAGGAAACCAGAGTTGATGATGTGTAGAAAGGAGATTTCCCCAGCAAGCAAACAAGAAGAAAGCGAGCATCATTCGAGGCACTAACAACAGCAAGAAGCAGCAGCTGCAGCAGCAGCAGCAGAAACCACAAGCCACAAGCAGCATGTGCAGGACGGGAGGCCGATGATGCACAGGCAAGCACAGACCTTGGCAAAGTTCCATTCGATGTCGCCTGGGAAGTGCTGCTTGAGCAGGTCAAAGACCAGGCTGTTGGACGGGCAGCACCTCGTCGTGCTGGCAGAGCATGCAGCCTCCGTGCCTGAGCACTCCAGTGGCGCGTTCACCAGCGTCTTGGCGAAGATGCGGAACGGTGCAGAGTGGTTCGTGCGGGCAAAGGACAGGATGTCACTGTTGGACCCTGTGGAAGGGGAGCGCGGAGCGTGGCGTGAAGGAAGATAGTAGGAGGTTGACAAGGGGAGTGAGAAGGCTTACTGAAGGTGTGGTAGGTAAACGGGAAAGACTGGAGACAGAGGGGGGCGAGGGAGAAAGGAGGGTGTAGGAGGAAGGATGGTAAAGGTCACAGTGCAGAAGCTATGGACCCACGAAAAAATGTGAACGGCCAAACATATACATGCCCCCTCTGCAATTCTTTTCTGTTGCCCTTGTGTGTAACCTATTTACCCCCTGATGCCCCAATTGCAACCCCTTGGTGCCTCATTAATGCCTGTGCATTACTCGCACCCCGTTCCTCCCCATTTCCATCCACATTCGCAATCCGTCCGCATCCCCTGTGTCCCCCAAGTTCCCTGTCGCGTGTGCGTCCCCAGCGACTTACTGGGCTCTTGGTTGCCGAACTGGTTGCAGGGGAAGGCGAGCACTTGGAAGCCGCGCGCAGCGAAGCGGTTGTGCAACACTGCTAGCTCCTCGTAGTTCTGGCGCACGCACGTGGATGGAGCGGAGGAGAGTGCAGAGAGGGGACATGGAGAGGCAGAGAAGGATGTGCGAGTGAGAGGGGCGATGGGCTTAAGAGGAGAGGAGATGAGAACAGAGAGAAGTGGATGTGCGGGGGTTGATGCATGGATGGTAGTGAGTTGATGGATAGGTGCGTGATGGATTGCATGGGACATGGAATGGATTAGAAGAATGGGGGAAAGACCGGCAAGTAACAGCATAAGTGGGTACAGAGCAGCGTGGAATGGTATAGAATGGCATGGGCATATAATGGAATAGATGACACGTGGGTTGGCATGATGGCGGCAGTGGGAGCAGCCGTGGGAGGAGCAGTGTATCCATGCGCACAGTGTTGACACGTGGCAGTGGTTGGTTAGTACCCTCTTTGTGAGGCCGCAGTCACTGGCCACGTTCACCACCAGCGACACCTGCTCCATGGCACACATGCATTCGTACACGCATTCACGCATTCGAGCATTCACGCATTCGAGCATTCACCCCTTGCCCCCCATGTGCCAAGGGCAGGTCAGCGAGCATGCAGAGGGACGGGCAGAGAAGCAGGTAGACAGGAAGGCAGTCAGGCAACCAGCCAGGCAGGCAGGCGGGCGAGCGAGCGGGCGGGCGGGCGGGCGGGTGGGTGGGTGGGTGGGTGGGTGGGTGGGTGGGTGGGTGGGTGGATGATTGGCATGGCAGGTGAGCAACGGACAGAGACTCAGAGCAACGTGCTGGCATCACTACATGACACATGTCCCGCCAGGGCAACGACAGTACCCGTGGAACCGAAACCACTCGTCCCGCACGTACCGTGCCTCGCAGCTCGCTAAGAGCCCGGAGCTGACCCGTTGCGTCCACGGCGGGGAGCATGTACAGGCTTTTAAGCCGCGCTCCGGCTTCCACGCCGCGATTCTCGCTGCTGCTGCTGTTCGTTGCGGTGGCGGAGGCGGCGGAGGCGGATAAGGGTGTATGTGGGGCGAGAGAAAGCGAACAAGCGCACAGGGCGGCGAGAAATGCGGCGAAGTATGGTGCGTCTACGATTCGCCGTTGGAAGCGGACTAACTGGAAACGGCGAGAGTGTGCACGATGATGCCGTGAGATCCTCGCACCTTTCACTGAAGCGTCGGATTGATGCAACATGATGAATTTCGCAGGCGGTTGAACGACACGTGTCCGTCTGCTTCAGTCGCGCAGAATCATTAGCGAGAGTGCGTGCGACATTAAAACCCGAAGCCTGAATTACAAAAACTGGGTCAACGCTTGGTTTGGTAGGTTTGGGGTTAGGGCAATATGAGGTGCGGCAGAATTGCGAAAGCAAAAAAGTTAGCGAAACATGATGCGACTCTCCCGTGAGTCAACGAGGCGTTATCAGCCAACGCAACCCAACAGTTCGCATACATTCTGCTTACAACCCCAGAGAGCTAGAGCAGGGTAAAAACCTGTGCGACAGAACTCAGACAAGCTTTTTAGGATCCAAGCATCGCGCTCACCAGCCAGGCATATCAAGTGAACACAATTTAGGGACGACGGAAAAGAAGATGAAGCGCGGTCATGCAATCGAAGTGAATCGTAGGCGCTGGCTGCGAGTGTGACGCACGTAGAAACGAGATGGCACGGGAGATATTAGCGATTTGCCCACCTCGCTTCCCCCGCTCGTCGCCCTCGCTCTTCCCGCGCACCACCTCCTCCCCGCCCGTCGCCTCGCCTCCTCCCTGCCCGTCGCCTTTGCTTCCTCCGCCCGCCCTCGCTTCTCCCCTCCCGTTGCCCTCGCTTCCCATACCCGCCGCCCTCGCTTCCCCCGCCCGTCGCGTACCGCATCTTCCCCGCCTACCACCCTCGCCTCGCGGGTCGCCATCGCCGCCTCCCCCTCCCGTCGACCTCGCTTTCCCCCTCCCGTCGACCTCGCTTTCCCCCTCCCGTCCACCTCGCTTTCCCCCTCCCGTCGACCTCGCTTTCCCCCTTCCGTCGGCCTCGCTTTCCCCCTCCCGTCGCCCTCGCTTTCCCCCTCCCGTCGCCCTCGTTTTCCCTCCCCATCGCTCGCCGAGTCGACCTCTCCTCTCCCACCTGTCGCTGCGTCAACATTGTTCTCATTCCCGCCGCTGACGTCTTCGTCGAGCGTCCCCTCTTCTTCGCCCTCGCTTCCTTCCTCCGTCGCCCATGCCCATTCCCCTCCCTCGCGCCGACGCCCTGGTTTCCCGCCCCGCCGCCTTCTCTACCCTTCCCAGTGCCCTGGTTTACCACCTCTTTTTTTCCCCACCCAAAGCTTCACTCTCACCCACGTACACTCATGCGAAACAATTACTCCCCTTCCTCCCTTCACTCTGTTCCCCCCTGTTCACTCCCTCCCCCCCCCTGATCACTCTCTTCCCCCTTGCTCATTCTGTTTCCCTCTTGCTCATTCTGTTTCCCCCTTGCTCATTCTGTTTCCCCCTGCTCACCCTCTTCCCCCCAGTTCGTGGTGTTCCCCCCTGTTCACTCCCTTTCCCCATGCCCACCCTCATCCCCTTGCTCACTCCGCGCTCGCCTGCGGGCCTCATCACGACGTCCGCCCGCCCTCTCACACTCGCCACGCCTCCCCACGCACCCTTCCTCATAAGCCCCTGCTTTCCATTCCCACTCTCAACCCTCATCGCCTCTTTTCCCCTCGAACAACTTCATTTCCCTTTCCCTACCTTTGAACTTCCATGGTATTTTTTCTCACGCCTTCCCTGCAATTCCTCCCCTTCTAACCCAATCCTCCTCCGCCACTCCTCGCCTCTCTCACACTCCTCGCCTCTCTCACACTCCTCGCCTCTCTCACACTCCTCGCCACTCTCACACTCCTCGCCTCTCTCACACTCCCCGCCTCTCTCACACTCCTCGCCTCTCTCACACTCCTCCTCGCCTCTCTCACACTCCCCGCCTCTCTCACACTCCTCGCCTCTCTCACACTCCTCGCCTCTCTCACACCCTCGACGTGCGCAAGGCGCATGCCATCAGCGCACGCCAGGCAGCGGCCAGCGTGGTGGCGCTGTTCGGCGAGTGCAGCACGGACAGGGCTGCTCTCACTATGTTTCTCCCTGCTCGCTCCCTTCCCGCTCCTCACTCTGTTTCCCCCTTGCTCGCTCTGTTTCCTCTCTTCCCCCCTGTTTTTTCTATTCCCCCCTGCTCACTCTCTTCCTCCACTGCTCATTCTCTTCCCCTTGCTGCTCGTTCTGTTTTCCCCTGCTCGCTCTCTTCCCCTTGCTCACTATGTTTCTCCCTGCTCACTATCTTCCCACCTGCTCACTCCCTTTCAACATGTTCTCTCTCTTTCCCCCTGCTCAATTATTTTACCTCTGCTCACTGTCTCCCCTGCACTCTGTTTTTCCCTGCTCATTCTGTTCTTTCCTGCTCACTCCCCTATTCAACCCTTTACCCATGCAGTGTGTCGGTGCCCAGCACCAGCTGTTGGGAGGGAACCACAAGTCCTGGTTTTTTGCTGCTGTATGTGCAGACAAGAGTTGGACAAGACATCACATGGACTAGCTTGTTCTTTTTTACTAGATTGATGCACATTGTAAGTGGTCTACAGTCTCATACCTCTGTGGATCAAAATTTAGTATATAATACTAAATATCCAACATTGGCATGTCTATTTGTCATACCTAGTAGTAGTACTACCAACAACCAACATTCCTGAACCAAATGCATAGGGGGGGGGGGGGGGGGGGGGGGGGGGACCTGTACAAACCCAGTTGTGAAAATCAGATGCTCGTGGCTGAAGCAGAACGCATACAAAAGGGTGGGCACTGATACTGACAAACCGGCACCTGCGAAGAGGAAGAAATAAAGAGACACTCACTGCAAATGTTGCGGATTGCATGAGAGAATTGCTCCAGTGCCTTGTTTGGTGATTCGCTCTTGCCCACGTGTCCCCGAATTGCTCGAGTGGCCATCCAATTCAGTGATAATTGCTCGAGTGGCCATGCCAGGGCATTTTCGAGGTGTTTTTTTTCCCTGGCACATAACCCTACAAGGGTTCGTACCCCCGAAATTCCTCGTTCGCACGACAGTAGATGCGCGGTCATTTTTTGCCCAATGCGCGACCAATAAGCGCGTGGGCAATTACATCAGCGATCAATAACTGCAACGCCAGAGCATAAATGCACGAACATATTATTGACCGCGCACGATTGGTCGATAATATGCTTCTTACCCTTTTTGGCAATGCGCGTCCAATCATGCACGGTCATATAATTCACGACCATATACTTAGGCGATAAAGGGTCGCCCAACAACCAATATCAGCGCGCATATACTACCATTAGTCTCAAAGTTAGCGAACAACGGAATGATTGGAATAGAAACGAATGGGGTACAAATGAGCAACCCTAGAAGCTGTACCCCCTAGAGTGCAACTCACTATAGCCTATCATATCAATGTTCAACATTTGACACACCCCCATAGGCTAAGTGAGGGGCATCAAAGCAAGCAAGGTGAACAAACGGTCACAAGACCAGTCAAACCAAGAACCAAGGCAAGCTCAGGGTGGATCTCAAGGACACCACACAAATTCCGAGCGCAAGCAAGCGGCCACAAGGCCAGTTCAAGAGTTCACTAGGATATAAATACAAAGCACAACAAGCAGAGCAAGCAACAGGACTACACCAACCGAGGGCCTACCTCAACAAGCCCCAACTGCACACAGAACCTGTGGTGGTCACCAAGCGCCAAGGCCTTGGTGAAGACGTCTGCAGTGTTGGCCTCTGAGGCCACAAAGTCCAGGCGTGCCTGACCGCGTCGCTGCAGCTCTCGCAGGAGGAAGTACCTCACGTCAATATGCTTCACTCTGCTCTCCAGTCGAGGCTCTCGACACAGGAGGATCATGGCCTTGTTGTCAGCGTACAAGGTCGGTGCAGAGCGAGGCCGCTCACCAAGGTCAGCGAGCAAGAAGGTCAACCAGCGAAGCTCCTGTGCCGCCATGGCACCAGCGTAGATCTCTGCCTCTGCACTGGAAGTAGCCACAGACGACGACCGTGTAGACCTCCACGACACAGCACCAGCTCCCAGACTGAAGCAGTAACCCTGAGTCGAACGCTGAGTCTCCACGTCGTCAGCGTAGGAAGAGTCGCAGTGACCAGTCAACGCCACTGGCTGAGTCCCTCCAAGCACAAGCCCCAAGCCTGATGTAGTCGCCAGGTACTTCGCCACCCTCACAGC